GTGCTTATGCTCTCAATATTATATCTTCATCTTTGTGGTTGAGTATTTGCTCAGTGATTTCAAGGAGTTAATACTCTGAACTTTTAAAGTGGATAAAAACCAGAGGAGAGGACGGAATAAGAGGGGATGCTTCTGGTCAATGGAGACTGAGAGTGCACTGGCGTAGATTGGATGTCTGCTTAAATGACAACAAGGAGAGAACTCACTAACCATCCCATTTCTTACACTGATCTGTTCTTATTTTATTCTCCATAGTCTATCACAGCAATTATATATCACTGAACACTTGGAAATTAAATATATAAAGCCTTTTTGGTAGTTTCCAGTAGAGTTGAACTTGCACTGCTGACCTGTTTCACATTTTACAAAGAATTTGGACTCGTGTAGCCAAATTTTGCACAGTTGAATTGTCTGTGCGCCTCCTGAGTAAATCATTCCTGCCCAGCTGGGTGGATGCTGGGCTCAGTGTTTCGTCCCTCCTGTGCTGGTGGGAATGTGGCTATCCTTTACCCTTCTGAGTTCCTGTGCCATCTGACTTCCTGGTTACTTCAGATTTACTGCTGTCGTTGCTTCAGTTTGAGAACCATTTCATTAACTCAGTGAAGGAGGTTCCAAGGAAGATCTGGGATTTATTAACGTGTATTTCTTGGTTTTGCTGTATTTTCGCCTGCACCGGTGTGTGCTGTGATTAGAACCATAGCACTGCTGGCCACTAAAACTTTTCCTTGGGACCATCAGGTAGCCCTGGAGCCAATACATGAACTCTATGTTACATATGCAAACTCAGGACAGCCATTCCAGTTTGCAGAGGAAAGACAACTCTCAGCTTGTGACAGCTGCCTGCTGTGCAGGAGATAACCAGGGAGCTGGTTAAAAAACATAGAGTCTCAGTCTTGTGAGAAATTTCCCCATCTTTGTATTTGCATTTATTCTGCATCAGAATAAAAAAAAAAATTTCTATATTTTCAATATTTTCAATCAGAGTTAAGTTCTTAAATATATTTTTGAGTATTTTCTTGTTTGTTTTCTGTCTGGATTTTTAAGCATTTAAATTAATATTATTGTTTCTTTTTTTACAGAATACAGAAGTATTATATGATATGGCTTGTCTTTAAAATAGATTATTTTAAAATAATTTAGAACAGCTGCTTTCTAGTGATTAAGTCATCTCATTTTCTAGATTAGAATCTCTTGTTTGTTTTGTAATGAAATGGTTTGACACTTGGAACAAGAAATTAAGATAAATACTCAGCATACCAACTAGAAGAGCAGGTGGTTTTTTCAGCATCCTTCTTATTCCAGGAAAATGCTGTATTTCTTCTCCAGCCGTATTTCTGTGCATGTATAAATTACTCCAGAGTTGGAAATTCCCATCGTTCCTTCTTGAAACTTTTTCAGTGTCTGATGCTCTGAAATTTCTCTTGCTTCAGGAATTTTAGTTTAAATCAATTAAGGAGAAGAGTGGCAACTTCTTAGTGTCTTACATGAAAACCAACATGTAAGGGATCTATTACAGCATCTTTGCTTTCTATAGGAGAAATCCCCTGACACAGAGACATGCATACACACAGACACATACGGTGTAGCACTCTTCAGATATTCCAGTGAGGAAATACCAACAGCTTCACTAAATGGGGATGATCCTGGCTATGAGAAATGTTGCCGAGCTGGATGGGGAGCCTATGGGTTGAACAGCAGGGGTGTGTGCCAGGTCAGCAGGGAGCAGCCAGCCAGCGCTCCGGGAGACTCTGCTGGCAAGAACAGCTACAGTCGTAGCTGAAGCTGCAGCTGCTTTAGCTGTACTGGGAGGCCCATAGAGGAACAGACTGAGACTGAGCTCTCAGATGTTAACCCACACTTGGGGTAGCACTAATATCTAAGAAACAGCAGATATCTTACTTGGAAGGGAAAATGATTCTTTTCTTTCTGAGCTGGAAGAGAATTTGCCTCCTTTTCCAAATGGAGGGCTCTGTTTTTGGGGCTACTTCCTGTGTTTCACCTGTGATTTTGCTGCTTAACCGTGAGCACTCAGCTATTACAGAAATCCATAGAATCCCTCAATCATGAAAATGTTTGTGTAGAGGAATGTAATAGCCCTCATTTTATAAATGGCAAAATGGAGACTCGGAGAAGATCAGTTTATCATGGTGATGACAGAAGTCAGCAGCAGAGGTGGGCACACAGCCCGTAGGGTCTGGCTGTCCAGGCAGTGTCTGTAGATACGTCAGTCATTCAGAGCTCTTGTGGAAAGCAGAGAAGAGCTTGAGACTAACTCTTATGAGAGCAATAAGCTGGTAACTAGCTCGCTCTATGGACGCTGTTATGCTTACCAATCCCTTAAATATTTCACCTTATGGACTGAATGAAACTGGACCACATGCACAACTTCGTACTATTGCTTTCCTGTTCTCTGTGTTGCATCGATGTACTGTTTATGTATGAAAGTTAAATGTTATTTATGTTTTGGGGACGAGGATTGCTTCCTCTGAATGTCTGCACATCACCTGGTTTAACAGCGTTCATATCTATTGGAACAGAGAGTCTGCTGCACTTGGCTTTGCCACAAATCTCTCCTTACTGTAGTTTATATATCCTAAAAAAACTTTTGGGAAATAGTGAAGTCTGATTTGAGTGAGCAATCTTTCTAAAAATTGACCCAAACTTCAATCTCAAATCGTGGTCGTACTCTCTCTTAAGTATAGTTTTCTCCTTCCCTGCTTCTCATGAGTTGAACCCAAGTTCTTTTAAGGTCCCTTGTACTCATATTCTCTGGTATAGTCAACAGAAAAAGAAAGAGACTTTTTTTTTTTTTAAATCCTTGACTTTCCTTGGGGTTTTTTTCTCTCCTGAAAGCTTTTCTAGCTCTATTTGCCTTAAGGGGATGATTTTTTTAATGAAGAAAAATAACTCATTTTGTAGTGATTTTAAAATGGTGAAGGTAGCCGAATAATTTTATTTATATGCAGATCAAGGACAAGTGCATCTTCCACTTATATTTATAGCCTTCTGTATAACATGCTTGAAAATAAACACCACTGATTTTGCATAGGCTACTACCTGGCATCCTGTAAAGGGGGTTTTCAGTGGCCCAGCAGTAGGAAGTTCCCTTTCTTTTTCCCCAACTCCTAATTTGCTCATTCTCCTTTGAAATTCATAGAATTGCTATTTCTCTAGCACTTGATTTGCAAATAGAGCATACAGATTGCATCGGTTCATTCCTACCTACCAGAATAAATACATTTTTCTTTCTGGAATTGGCTGTGGCATTGACTGGGTCACGTCTCTTAAATTAAAGTCTTTGATCCTCACTCTAACTCTGATGGTGCTTCTACACTCCCTTGCCTTGAAGTACCTTGATGCAATAAGAGCTGTCAAAATACTGTCCCGTGCCATGCTGCATTGCATGGTCCTCACCTTACCTAAGGAAAAGGAGCAAGTGTAAAGATTTCTCCTCCCCGCCTTTAATTTGTTTGTTCTAATGACCGTTGTGTCAAGATCTCTCTTTCTCAGGTTTCTGGCAAGTAATAAAAATTTAAAACCAGGTTGTAATTCCTGGAAAAATTAGTAGGTTTTCAATGAAATTGCCTGCAAGCTGTTCAATTGTAATTCCTTTAAGAGTTCTGCTTCTGTAATGTCTCGCTGCTCTGTAGGCCTGGGTGTAATTCACGGCCCTTTTCTGTTACACTGTCTTGTCTTGGGTGTCAGCTCTGTCCAAATAATAGGATTCACACACTCACACCCTTATCTGGTGTCAGTAGCATCAGCCTCTGTCTCTTATTTATCCTGTTATTATTAAAGCCCCCCTTTTTAAACATTGTACATCTATTTTTCCTCAAAATGCAGCTTTTTCCTCCTGTGATAAAGCAAGCGACTTAAAAATTTTCAAAGGCTCTTTCAGCAAAGCCGGGAATTAGATTCTTGTGGAGTCCTTCATAAAAAATTGAAGACTTTGTGTATTAACATACATTGATTTATTCATAGTGTTTCATTACAAATAAGCGAAGATCCCATAATATCAGGAAAGGTTAGGAGAGCAGTGGAGGACGTTATATTATATTGACAGCTCAGTTGAAATTGAGCTGCCTTTGGATTGAATTTGGAACGCAGGGAAGGAATTGGCTGGTAAATAAGTCATGAGTTTTGCTTCTAAGTGTCTGTATATCAACAGGGTTGCCATGGGTAAGCGTAACAGAGCTCAAGCAGAATTTCAAAGGTGTGCCTTCAGCTTGGATTCCTCTAAAGGTGTGTAGGCACCAGCAGCGGGTGTATTCATGAATGGCTCTCCAGGTCTGTAACCCCGCTGACTTATTCTCTCAGGCAAAAAGCAGGCATGGTACCACATGTAAACCTGCAGACCGAGGCTAAAAACAGGGGAAGGGAAATGATATCAGAAGCTGGCTTACAAGCTCGGAGAATGGAAAGGCTTTTGTCTAAAGACTTGATATTTATTTCGTTTAAACATACCATTTCATTTTGGCGTATCCTCTTTAGCACAGGAAAAGACTTCCAAAACCTTTGCTGTCAGTAAAATGCTCCCATTGTTTTCAGTGGCCTTTTGAGAAGACCATTTGCCAGAAAAAAAACCCCACTCAATGGAAAACGTATCCATGTTTGCACCAAAAGTTTTTGTATGCTGTGTGGAATTGTATGGGAAATTCTCATGAAAATTCTGCCGGTTGTGCTGTGTGCTCTGGTTTGGCTGCAGAAGTTCTGAGGTTTGGAACAAAAAGCAATTCTCTGCATCTTTTGTTGTAAATCAGCCCATGCTGAGGTTTTAGTGGAGAGAAGAAATTAGTTTTTTTCCTAAGTAAAGCCTTGGAAAAATTGTCATGTTTTTTTGACACCATCCAAATACAGAACCGCTCACTAGAGATACTGAAGTAATATCTGTCCTTGTATTTTCAATGTCTAGTCTCAAGAGATGGCAAAATAGGGGAGCAGAGAAAGGCCAGGTGCAGAAGGCCCCTTATCACCTTACTTTCCTTCTTCTTCATTTGCAGATTACATACAAGGCCGTTGGGTCTCTGGATCCCAGTGCTGACCTGTCCAGCCAAAGAGGGAAAGTCTTCAAACTAAGGAATGAAACACATCACCTCTTTGTAGGATTATACCCAGGGACTACGTATTCATTCACCATCAAAGCCAGCACAGTCAAGGGCTTTGGGCCACCCATCACAACACGGATTGCAACTAAGATTTCAGGTACTGCTTTGGCGAAGAAGAAAAAAGAACTTTCTAGGGCTTTGTTCTTTAGACCCGCAGCTGATGCATAAAAGAATAAAAAGGTATTCAGCTTAGTGTCTCTGCAAGTTTCCTAGGGCAAATTTTTAAAACAGCCACAATCCAGTATCAGTGTGTGTTCATGTTACAAATGCAGTGGTTAATTTGTGGATATCTTAAATATCCATGAATATCTTTGTGGAGCATTTTAAATGAGAACCTTCATTAGTTCCACAAATGAACTATCCCTATAATAATTGTTAGTATTATCTGCGTGGCTGGGGAAGCTCCTTCAATAACGTGGCTTTTATTTTCAGATTGCACCAAAATGGATGTAATGAGGTAATTGAATTAATAGTGCAAGGAGACTAAAAATAAAGGAGGAAAGCTGTTTTTATGTTTTCTTTCTGAGTAAGGGCAGAGGGAGGGCTTGAGGTAGGCAGACTAGTATATGAAGGTCACTAAAATCAGGAGGCATTGCAAAAAGAAGGTGCGTGTGTCTCTAGGGAAAAAGGAAACTTAGGCTAGCTATCCGAAAAAAAGATGGATAAAGGGATGGTAGAGACGATATTGGGCAGACATATGTAGACATTTAATTTTAACATTTAATTGATAAAACTAAAACAGGTTCTCTAACACGATTTAAAACTGTCATTTTTTGGAATAGCTTAACTGTTTTTTCAGTAAAGCCAAAATAAACGTTTAGGACGTTCAGGACACTTGTAATGCTTGAAATTATGGCTGGATGCCACAGAAAAGAGTGCACCACTGTGCAGATTTTCCATTGTCCTATTTCAAAATTGGTTAATAAAAATACGTTGTTAGCAGTGACAGTGTAGATTTTAAGGAAGTGAAATGTATCCATTCCCTCCACTAACCGTCAGCGGGGTTTGAACCCTTAACATTTAGTGCAAAAGCCTGTGTCTCAAGCACTTGAAGTAAAGCCATTAACTGTTGTAACAGCTCCACGGGCTGTTAGGGTTTGTGCAGCCCTGCTGTGAAGGGAAGGCGCGGCATGCACTCTCTTCACTTGTGACCAGAGAAATAAAATAGCACAGTAACGGTAGTGCTTATTCCCCCTGATTCAGTTTCTTTGCATTTTATTATTCAGTGAGTGCTCAAATTGTGTTAGAAGCCTGCATGATTCTTAACTGTACGCACACTGAGCTTGGTTTATCGTCTCTTTTTTTCCCATCTTCCAAACATCTGGTTCACAACAGGTAAGCACGGGCTCCGTGCAGGCACTAGAGTAGTTTCTGACATCAGATTATCTCATTGTGTGGTCAGTCCTGTACATGTAATTCGGAAATTACTGTTAAACTTGCTCTAAGAGACTGTCCCAAGGTTAGTAGGGAGAAGAAGGATTTTTGCATTGACTGGAATGTCCTTGTAAGACTATGTATCTTTTAAAATGAAAAGACATCTATGCTGTAGCACTGTGTGAGTGTGTATGTTTATATGGGTGGACATGTTTGTTTATGTCTTAATCACAATTAAATGGCAGAATTCCTGAGGACTTCCCTTCGGGCAGGACTGGGATCTTGCAAAATAGGCATTGAATTGATGAGCAGTGCTTGCCATTTGAGAGATCACTGCCAACTGTAGTTTTATTGAGGTACTACACAACTGTTCCGTGTTGAGTACACAAGAAAACTACTGTATCTTTTTTCAGTGTCTTGTGACTAATGCAGACTCTGATCACTGGATTATGCTCAGTACCATTAGCTAGTCTTGCCAAGACCTCTGTTTCTTCCGTTTACTTCTTAACTATATGGTGTCTGAAAGTAAGATTGTAAATTCTCTGTGGCAGGTGCCGTGTTTACAAAGATAACTACGGGGGTCTCATGCATAGCCGGGAGGAGACATTCGAGCTAGCTAACGTATCGGAAACAATTTAGTGCCACCGGTGCAGCCCTGCAGCTAGGCTAGAAGAAGCTACTTCAAAGCAGGATGGTGGAGCCTGCAGAGGCCAAACCCAGCCTGTTTCTGGTGTCCAGACTGGCCCTGCAGCCTTTTTTAGTACTGCGTGGTGCTGTAGCACCGTCCCCTCTGGCCAGAGAGGGTGCTGAACAATTATTGCTGTGGCATCTCCAGCAACCACGGTGATCTCTGAGATAGAAGAACACTGTTGACATGCATCTTCTTTAAATGACTGACACTGCTTCCCCTTGATGCAGAGCACCGTTTTCAGAGAAATCCTTGTTAAGGAATTGGCATTCATTCTGAACTCATTGCCAGCTTATTGACAGGGAAGTCAGTAGCTGAGTTGATAATAGCAACCACCATTCTTGACAGTTTTCAGGCATTTAGATAAAAATCCTGATTGTAAACAGGATTACAGTGGAAATCACTGTGAGAGGATTAAATGTGGGATCCCCTGCAATGCAGCTTGCCCTTGTGAGTTACAAATGAACTATTTGTGTGAATTCTTCTGTTTGCTTTATACTTGAAAGATATTTCAACAAAACTTGCATGCTTGGAATAAATTTGATGCTGCTCTGATCTCGTGATCTCTTCAGTTCTTCCACAGTGAAAATTGTCCCAAACAATGTCTGCTATTGGGGAAGGAAGAAGTAACGTAATAAGTAAAATACATTTCCTAAGGAAAGCTATCCTACTTTCATGAAGTGATCCTAATAGAAGATAAGAAAGCAGAAGTAGAAACTAGACTTTGGCTAAGTGTGAATATTCAGTGGTTTTCTATATTGCTTTGGGGCACACGTCAGCGAAGCGATGGGGATACCATGGCTGGGTAGTGCCTGAGCACGCCATTGGAAGCCGTGCAGCTGCCTGTTGATTCAACATCACTAAAGCGCGGGGGTAAAATGTCATGGGTTTGAGCACTGAAATAACCTGGCTAATTTGTGCTCCTCTCTTTTCATCTTTTGTGCTTCATAACACACCGTCCAGCTAATCAAGGAGGCACAACTTAAGTGTATGTATTGAAAACTCTAAGATGTGGGAGGTCTGATCCAATGACCAGAATAGTGAACAAGAGCCAGGTTTCCTGGGTGCTATTTTTAGCTCTGCCACTGATTCACTCATCCTAAGTGGTCTTTTATGTAATGTCCATGCAGTTTTCTTTCTTCACCTTTAAAATTGAAGGAATGACCCCATCTGAAAGGATTACTAAGTCTTAAAAATTCAAGACAGGATTTTCAAAGCCACCTTGAAGATTTCGGTGTCCGATTCCTGTTTAATTTTAATAGGAGAAGAGCGTACAAATATTTAAGCAGTTTTGACAATTTTGGTCATAACTTTGGGAAGTATTTTGATGTTTCGTTTGACAAATGTTAAGCAGTCTCCAAGAAATCTTAATATTACGTTGCCATCACTACCAAAAGCAGTAACTGGTGTATTACTAAGGTGTTGGTCTTTGTTCTGCTGCAGCACCGTCGATGCCAGAATACGATACGGACTCCCCCCTGAATGAGACTGACACTACCATCACCGTTATGCTGAAGCCCGCTCAGTCCCGGGGAGCACCTGTCAGGTAGGTGTTTTGTCTTCTCTTTTCACAGTTCTCCCTTCTCCTTCCTCCCCAGGCTTCACTCACGCCTCTCTCATTCTCGACTGATAATGTAGCTGCTGAAAGCGAACGCTGACTAAAAGGCCAACTCTGCTGTTGATTCCGCCTTTCACAGTCTCCTTTCATAAACGCCTCAACCTGCTTGCCTCCCGCTGTTAACCTCCAGGAAGGATTACTGATAGCATTGCATGGGGTTATTACCCTTTCAGCGTCACTTCAGATGCCTTTGCAGCACTGGAGTACAACCGTACGTGCAGCTGTGTCCGGTGACGCTGTGAATTGAGCATCGCCATGCAAAGGTGGAGGAGGCTTCAGGCCTCCGTCTCCTGCCCTCTCTTCCGTGATGGACAAAGCCTTTTTGTAACTATCGTATGAATGTCTGAACTATCTTTAATGCTTGCAGATGCATTTGTTCAGATTCTGGATCTAACCACATTCCTCACATCTTGATGTTATAATCCAGCTATTGCTCCTGGGCTGGTTGTGGAGTGAAGTAGTGATCTAGTTCAGAAAAGATGAACTCTGGTTTAGTGAGGCTTTGCCAGTTGTAGGCAAGCGCAATTTCCACTGGCAGAGTAGAGGATTTAGGGGCAGGGAGCTGCTCAGGCACTCGTGGAATAGAGCAAGGACCTTGTAGAAAACGTTTCTGGCTGTCCCTGAGCTGGGTCCCATTCTTAACGATGAGATGCTGCAATGGGACGCTCGACTGCAGATTGCTCCCTGACTGTGGAAGCACGACTTACAGAGGTGTGTACTTCATTGCTTTCTTCCATCTAGGTGAATTTGTACGTGGTGAAAGGCACCAGCCCAGACAAAAAAACTTCCCTTCTGAGCCGGCACTGCCTGATCTGTCGCTGGCAGAAGTGCCAGTTGGTCATTCATCCTGCCGGTCCCCTCAGCTGAGAGCAGGAATTAGAATCGCTTGTGATAAAAATAGTGGATACTGCTTTGCAGAGGTATCCAACAGCCATTACCTCGCTGTAGGCTCTTCAGGCTTCTACCTCCAGTTTTCACAAGAGACTTTTGGAATTTTTCCTACAGGTGATATTTTAAAAACCCATAGTCCCTTCTTTCAAAGTGACTTGGGTTACTACGCCCCACTGACTGGTTCTTAGTGCAGTTGAAGGATGTCCTAGTAAGTATTCAGGAGCAAATTGCCCAGATGTATACTACTTGATTTAATGAAATATCCTGTATCAGTTGGTGGTCCACCCTATGTCACAGCTTTCCCCCAAATTGCATTGATACTCTCAAGCAAAAAATTCGCTCTTTAAGACTTAGCACCATCCCTTTTCTAGTTTTTCTGAGTAACGTATTTTGAAGTTTCCCTTTCAGTCTCTGCTACTCCATATGAACGCGTTTAGGAGCCTATTTTCTGAGTCCTTTAGGGATGTTTTTCTGCTGGAAAAGAGCAGTAAAATCACACAGCTCTAGTTTTTTTTATATGGGGGAACATTCCTGTATCTCGTTTTACCACCTGCTGTCTTGAGAGTGTTGCTATTTTGTCTTTTTATTGAAAAGTCTTGTGATTTTTCTCGGAGTCAATTTACTATACTTTAACCGCATTCAGTGAATAATGTCTTTTCCAGCAAATGTGTCTGTTATAAAAAGAATCAGTAGAGATTTTTATAAATTTTCAGTCTGGTGTCTTTAATTGCATTGTTGTCTATTATACACACATTTGCAGAGTGCAATATTTACATGGCACATCTAAGTGATAAGATTACTTCCTATTATGAGCCCATTTCATTGACTTACAGACATGTGTGTGAAAACCAGAATGGGTTGGGGGGAGGGGGGGTCTTGGGGAGAATTTTAGCTTTTTATTAACTGTGACAGCCTCAGAATGTGTGAATACCTTTCTCTGTATAACCAGATAGACTGTTCCTAGTCTAGCCTCAACAAATCCAATTATTTCAACCGTAGATTTTCCCAACCTCTTCCCTTTTCTTTCAGTCTGTTCTGCACTCTCCAATTTGTGTAAATTCTCTTGAAATACCATGTCCAAAAGCAGGTAGCACTCCCTCGGAGGCCTCAACAGCACCCAGCAGATCAGAAGAATAGCATACTGTGAACTGCTTGTGACACTCTTAACACACAAGAATGAGGTGTTTTTCCCCCCCTCAGTGTTTTCTTCGTGTTCAAGCTGAGATCCAATATATCCTCTTTGTTGTTGTCTGGTTACTTGTTCTATCTTTTGGTTGTGTGTGTTTTATTTCTCCTTCACGAGTATAATATTTTGCATTCATCTCTGTTAAATATGATAAAATTGATTTTCAAAATGCCTTAAAATTCTGATACAAACTTAAAGGACAGGCCCTCTTAGTCTGATGCCATCCTCTGTTCGGTTACCCAAGGCATTAGTGAAAATACAGATTTGAGACAACTGACTGTGAGAAATCTGCGTGTGCAGCAGCGCAGCGGCGCAGAGGTAGCTGGAGGGGATCCCGCATGATGCAGCATGCTGGTAGGATGCCTGTTCTCCTGGCCTCCCTTGTAGGCATGACCATGCTTTCCTAGATCCTTTCCCTTTTGCACACTGACCTTTCATATCCCAGCTTGCCTGAGATGCTTCTGAAAAGGTACTTGAAAGTAGTCTGAAATAGATTTTCCTCACACCTTCTCATAAAACCTCTGATATTCAGATCTTTCACTATGCAGGAATAGGTCAATCCCTCATCTCATCAACCTGACAGTTCCCCAGGCAGCCAGTTTCTGCTGTGCGGTGCCCTGGGTTTTTATTATAGTTCTCCCAAACTGTGAAGATGAAAAAAACCTGACTATACAGTAATTATTCTTAATATTTCCTCTTGTATGTTGGGGATGGTGAGTTGGAGTACGTGTTGGGGTGTGATTGGAAACTAGTATCTATATATGATAGTTATGTTACTTTCTCTTGTGCTATTTCATTTTGCTGTAGTCTGAGCAGCATACAGGTGGAGTATGGTCTGCAAGATCATTTTTAGAGTAATATTGTACAATATTTCAAATAAGGTTCATTGTATTTCCATTCATCTGAAATGCAGGTACACCAGATCCAAAGCCGCTTTCAACATTAAGACATTTATGATGTTCCCCAGTGCTTGTGATAACTTGAATGAGGTTGCTTATAAAACTAATGATTATGAAGTTGGCATTGTTAACAATCTATAGATAACAGTGAAGACCTTAAAGATCTTTTCCAGCCTAAACGATTCTATGATTCTAAGATGCTTTCATATGAACTAATAGGAATAATATAAACTTAGATATTCTTTCATCTGTTTTGTCCTATTGCCAAAAGAAAGATGAAGCCTCAGCAAGCATAAATATTGTCTCTTGTGGCATAGGCATTTCATTTTTGCCTTTATTTTCCATGGTATAACCTGCAGAGCTTGACTCCATGTTACCCTTTAAAAATAACTTTTAGGTGTTCTTGTATCAATCTAAAGCCCGCGAATGGTGCTGTGATTGATTTGCTGAAGACTGACATCCATCTATAATAGATTCAGAAGAGGAAAGAAGAATGCAAGTGTTCCCAATCTTTACTCCTCAACTCTTTCCTGAAAATCTCCAATGTGATTTTGAGGATAATTCTGCCTTTAAATCTATTATTGTCAGGAGGGCTGAGTCAGTCCTTCATAGATTATTCACATATGACATCTTCAGATCTCTATTTGAGAATTTATATCCCATTCACTGCTTGAAAATACCACTGTGAGGGATTTTATCTACATGACATGTCCACTGGGCTGGTTTTTGTGTGTTGGATATTTGAAAGTCCATCTGGTTTATTAACATGCGGTTGGTGCTATCAATCTACGTATACTACTGTTATGGAGAAAATCAAATTTCCAGAGCATGTATTAGTTTTGAGGATTTCAGAGTTTAAATAAATGCTCCCCTTAGGTGTGATTGCCTTGTCGATACGCTGCTCTGCATATTGGAGCTGTAGGACACTGTAGAAGGACGTTAGAGAGGAGTCTGCAATTATTTTGGGGGGTTTCAGACTATGGAGATCTTCTTTGTTGGAAAAAGATTGATTTAATCTCCCTATCTTCCTGCAGTTCTCTGAGGTGTATCAGTAAATAATGTGTGATGTTCTTTTGTGTGTCTGCCAGCACGCAGGTACAGCATGGTCTTTAGGCACTTGACGCCTGTACTGTGCTAAAGAACAGTATTATTAGAACAAAGGTATTCAATCTTTGCACTTGCCTTTACGCACATATATATATATATTTGTGGGGGAGAATATATATATATAAAATATATATATGTGAAGTGTAAGAAGCATGTGTAAGTAGTCCTGGAGAAATAGGTAAGAGTCATTTATTGTGTATGTGTGCAATGGTCGGATACTTGTAATCACTTTGATGGTGAGGAAGGATGGGTTAGTTTATTAATGTATGTCTTAAAGGAAATAAGTAAACCTAAATAGGAGAACAGCAGTTTAAATATTTTAAATATATTTAGAAGTACTGAGCAAAGGCGAAACAAATATTTTCATATCAACAGCCAGCCAGTAGGAGAAATTAATTTATGTGGACCAAGCCCCATGTTACTCTTGAGTATTGTCATCTGATTCTTGGTTTCCAAGCATGAAATAAAGGAAATATTTTTGGTCTACGTGATGCTGAACAAATTAAGAGAAAACGGTTGTAGTGTTATTTAACAGGACACCTAAGAACAGTGGTTTTTTTCTGGTTTTATGCTCAAGCTGTTCTCCAAACAAACAATCCCGTGTGATGTATCTGTGTACTTACGTATTCCTACAGATAGTAACAAATGAAAATTTCCTGTGACGAAGGGGAGCGGTATTGCTTCCATTTTATGTTGGAGAACTGAGACTACGTCTAGATAAAACTTGCCTTCCATTTCTGTTTGCAACAAAGTAGAAACTAAGAATCTCTGGAGCCATAGGCTATAACTTTAATCTCCAGATAATTCTTTCTTTTCTTGTGATTTCAGGCATCATCTGTTCATCC